ATACATGACATCAATAACTGAATCCTACTCTGATCTGATTGGCTCATTGCCAAAACAAGATGACACCTGATTGGGTCTCTAAACACTCATGCTCATTGGCTACAATCAGACGAAGGAAAGCTACCTGATATCAACCTAAGCAAGTTGTGCTTCCCTTTTCTGGTTATTTGGCTATAACTTTTCATAGAATACAGTACAGATGATTGAACAAACTTTGTTGCATTACATTCTTGATTAAATTATCTTTCCATTGATATATAATTTTATGGTACTACTCCCCCCCAAAAGTGGTGTTATTAGCCATCAAACCTCAAATGAACACTTTTCCCAAAAGGTTTCCACAATTTTGGCCACTACTGTATAAACCTTCATGCTTACATACAGTATAAGTAACATATAAATATTAATCATTAATAACTAAATATAATTCAAAAATCAAAGGTAAGTATTTTCACTATACTGGGAAAAACGCCTTTTTTCTTTTCTTTTTTTATCCTCCACCCCTCTTTTTTAAATCTTTATTTTAATTGTATTTTATGCTATATTAAACTTTAATAAAGTATTGTGTGTGTGTGTGGGGGGGGGGGAACAGAATCGCTTCGGCAGAGATGCGAAATTTTCAAGGCAGCCGCGCAGCCTAAGTGGTGAATCGGACAAGAAAGAGACTGTCCCTGCCTGGCAACTAGTGACGAAGCCTGTTTCAGAGTTGTGATTGGCCAGTTCGTGGAAAGTCCCATCCAAGCGAGGAAATCCCCTGGCGTGGGTCCAGCGGAGCGGGGGAGGGGGGGTGGAGAAAGGGGGCGGGGCGCTGCAAAGCAACTTTCTCCTGGGGGAAATTGGACCCCACTTCTGCTTTATCAGATGATAATAAGCCAATAAGTGATGGGAGTTTTTATTTCCCCCCAAAATCCGCTGCTGGAATATTCCAGCCACCCCCCCCCAAGGCAATCCTTTGCCTTTGATCCCGAGAGGTGATTCCACGGGGAAGAAAATGCACTTTGCTCTTGCTCAGAGGCACTGTCTTCTAAGCTCCTCCCCCCCCCCGTTTCAGCCCAACCTTGCACCCACGTCCTGCGTCTGCAGTCCTTGGATCTGACCCTTAGGAAAGGGGGCTGGCAACTGGGGTGCAGCAGGAGAGCGCCCCATCTTCACTAGTGTGTGTGTGTGTGTGTGTGTGTGTGTAGGGGGTGTCAGGACTACAGCATGTGTTTCAGTGATCAGTGGGGTGGGGGTTATATATGGGTCTTGGGCAGACTCTCTCCACCAGCAGCTCTTGCGGTGTGTGTGTGTGTGTGTGTGTGTGTGTGTCCCCAGAAGAAGCTCCTGGCCGAGACAGGATTCAGCGCGGAGGACGCTTTGCAAGCAAAGGCCGTAACGCACAAACGCTTGCCCCGGCAGCCTGGCATCACAAAGCCAAGGATTGTGTTACACGCCCTGATGTCACAAGACAAAGGCGGGCGGGGTTCCCGCAGCCTCAGAAAGTGTCGAAACCTGAAAGCGAGCGAGCGAGCCAAGGGACAGGCAGACAGACAGGGAAAGGGAGAGAAAGGGAGAGGGAGAGAGCGCGGGAGGGAGGCAAAGAGAGCCAGAGAGAGCAAGAGAGAGGGGGGGAGAGAGCAAGAGAGAGAGAGCGAGAGGGAGGGAGGGGGGAGAGAGAGTGACAAACAGAGAAAGAGGGAGGGGACCGTAAAGAGAGAGGGAGAGGGAGAGAGCGTGGGAGGGAGAAAAAAAGAGCGAGAGGAAGAGAGGGGGAGAAAGGCAGGAGAGAGAGAGAGAGAGAGAGAGACGGACGGAGGGAGGGAGGGAAAGAGAGAGAAAGGAAGAAAGAGAGGGGGAGAGAGAGCCAGAGAGCGAGACAGACAGACGTAGGGAGAGGGAGGGAAAGAGAAAGGGAGAAAGGGAGAGGGAGAGAGCACGGGAAGGAGAGAAAGAGAGCGAGGGAGAGGAAGAGGGAGAGCGAGAGGAAGAGATAACGAGAGAGGGAGGGGGAGGACGGGGGAGGGGAGAAGACTGGACCAAAGTCACCCTGGGAGTGGCAGTGGGCCGGGGTCCTTCTTGCCCACCCTCCTCTCCTCTCCCCTCTCCTCTCCTCCCCGCCCGATGAGCTGCGCTGGTCCAGCCAAGCAAGGAAACGAAGCGGGCCCGTAAACCATCTCTTGCCTCTCCACTTCCCGCCCGGAGCCCAGCTTTAGGGGAGGCAATTTTTCTTGGTCCTACCGGGCTGGCCAGGGATGGCGAATCCAGGATCTTGTAGGCCGTGGCCGCCATCTGGTGGTCTTCGGAGGCCGGAAGCCCTCTCTGATGGTGGGGAATAAGCGATCAATCAGAATAGAGGTGGAAGGGACCTTGGAGGCCTTCTAGTCCAGCCCCCTGCTGGAGCAGGAGAACCTGTACCAGGGGTAGGCAACCTTGGCTCTTTTATGACTCGTGGACTTCAACTCCCAGAATTCCTGAGCCAGCCATGCTGAGGGGAAAGGGAGAGGTTTCCAAGCTGAGCCATGCTGGCTCAGGAATTCTGGGAGTTGAAGTCCATGAGTCATAAAAGAGCCAAGGTTGCCTACCGCTGACCTATACCATCTCAGACAACTGACTGTCCAGTCTCTTCTTAAAAACCTCCAGTGATAGAGTGCCCACGATTTCTGGTGGCAAGCTGTTCCACTGGTTAATTGTCCTCACTGTCAGGAAGTTTCTCCTTAATTCCAGATTGCTTCTCTCTTTGGTCAGTTTCCAACCATTGTTTCTTGTCCTGCCCACTGGTGCTTTGGAGAATAGTTTGACCCCCTCTTCTTTGTGGCACCTTCTCAAATACTGGAACACTGCTATCATGTCTCCCCTATTTCTTCTTTTCTTTAGACAAGCCAAACCCAAGTCCTGCAGCCGTTCTTCGTAGGCCTTGGATCATTTTAGTTGTTCTTCTCTGAATTTTTTTCAAAGTCTCAACATCTTTTTTGTAATATGGTGACCCAAATTGGCTGCAGTATTCCAGGTGTGGCCTTACTAGGGTTTTGTAAAGCGGCACTCATACTTTGTGTGATCTTGATTCTATGCCTCTGTTTATACAACCCAGGATTGTATTAGCTTTTTTGGCTACTGCTGCACACAGCTGGCTCATGGTCAAGTGATTGTCCACTAGGACTCCAAGGTCCCTCTCACCGTTGCTGTTCACCAGATAATTCAAGTTTCTCCTTAATTCCATTGCTGCCCAATGAGGCACCCCAGATGAAGGTTATAAACACACGCAAGAGTTTTAGTAATAGTGTATGTATATAGTAAAATCTTTAATGTAAATAACTTCTGTTTGGAGAGTCTTCGGGGGAAAAACACAAAGTGGGCTTCCCCTTCCCCTTTTCTATCCACCTCCCAAGCAGGCCCACACTGCAGGGATGTGGTTGAAAGGCAGGGACTGGATGGAGTGAGAATCTGCCCCTTTGGGACAAGGGATTCCTCCCCATTTCATCTGCTGGGACTTGAAGGGGGTCCAGGTTCAGCCGAGGGGTTCAAACGAAGACTCCAGAGTGACCTTGACAAGAGGGAATGATCCCTAATTAACAATTAGAGAGTATAATAATAATAATAATAATAATAATAATAATAATAATAATAATAATAATAATAATAATAATAATAACAACTGTAAGCAAGAACTGGTAGGATCATAAAATAGAGAAAGTCATAGAAAATGATAAAATTAAACTGCTCTGGGAGTTCAGAATTCAAACAGACAAGCACCTGCAACATAGCACCCCGGACTTAACAATTGTCGATAAGAAAGACAAAAAAGTCTGGATAGTGGACGTGGCAGTGCCTGGAGACAGCAGAATAGACGAGAAAGAACTGGAGAAAATAACAAAATACAAAGACCTGCAAATAGAAATAGAAAGACTGTGGCAAAAGCAAGCAAGGGTAGTACCAATAGTCATAGGCGTCTTGGGTGCAATCCCAAAACAACTGGAGCACCACTTGAACACCATTGGCATTGACAAATTCGCCATTAGTCAATTGCAAAAGGCGGCCTTCCTAGGAACTGCTTCCATCCTGCGACGATATCTGTAATACCATCAAACATCCACATCTGCCTAACCCAGGTCCTGGGTAAGGACTCGATAGGTAGACAAAATGCCAAATCCAGTCTGAACATCTGGCTAACTGTGCGATGATCCATAATAATAATAATAATAATAATAATAATAATAATAATAATAATAATAATAATAATAATAACAACAACAACAACAACAATAATAATAATAATAATAATAATAATAATAATAATAATAATAATAATAAACATTGGAAGGGACCTTGGAGGTCATCTAGTCCAACCCCCTGCTCAGGCAGGAAACCCTACAACATTTCGGAAGCTGCCCTCTCTCCTAGCAGATGTTTCATAATTAACAAAGAAGATGGGGCTAGGATGCTGGTAGCAGCCAAGGAGAGAGCTGGGTGCGATTTTACCAGAACGTGTAAAGATCAAGAGGGGTGGTGGTCAGGAACAGCAAATCACAAAATAGGGGTCCCTCCCTCCTTCCCTTCCCTTTTGCAATTTCCCAATACCTAGAAACACCCTAGGTCAGTTACTAATGTTTTGTGGTGTATTTTATGTTTAATTACACCACATTTGGGGTCCCAAGGCTGCCAAAAACCCTAGAAAAAAAATGGGGGTGTGCGCGTGCAGAACAGAAAATTAGAAAAGCCTATTAATTCATGGAGGGGAAATAGAAGACGCTCACCTGCAGGTGGTGAGATGGAAGTTGCTGGAAGGAGAAAAAGACCCTATCAGGACCTTTCATGGGCTGGAGGACTCCCCATTGATAGTCCATAATTGGTTGCACAGTCTTTATGTATAGCCCCTCAAAATCAAATTTCTCAGGGGGACCATCAGCCTTGGGATTTAGGGGTCAGGGGGAACCCTCTTGACCCCTATGCTCACTATGCTTGATGAGATCCCACCCCTGGATGGTCCCCTCCCCACAACCTCTCATCCAGCCACCCACACTCACCTTTCTTGCTCTTCAGGTAGAGGGAGAGCCCCATGGTGAAGAAGATCACCCCGATCATGGCTGCCACGATCCCCGTCCAGAGTTTGCTCCTGGCCGAGTTGGAGGAACGGGGCTCTGGGGAAGGAGAAGGAGCCCCCCCTGAGCAGGAGGATCAGGGCCAGCTTCCCCCCCAGGAGGGTCCATCCTGGCTCCCCCCAGAGGGAGGGTCTTTCTCCCTGCTTCTCAGGGCAGGAGGGGGTCCCCAGAGCAGGAGGGGAGGGAGGGGAGGGCCTCACCCCACTGGACGGTGATGGGGGCCTCCAGGCTGGCGTGCCCCACCTGGCAGGTGTAGACGTCCCCCCGCTGGGGCTGGGTCTCCAGCATCACCTGGAGCTGGTAGGTCCAGTCTCCGTTCTGGAGCTCCTCCCCAAAGGCCACACCCTCCTCCTCTGGCTGCCCGTTCTTCAGCCACCGGACCTCGATCTCCACGGGGTAGAAGCCCCTCACAATGCAAAGGAGGATGGTGGGGGGGGAAGCGGGGTCCAGCTTGGTGGGGGAGATGGAGACGGTGGGCTTGGCTGGAGGGGAAGAGGAGGAGGAGGGATGTGAGAGACACAACAGGGCCCAGAACAGAAGACCAAATGCAGGAACAATTTTAATTTTTAAATAACAGAATAAAGGCAAAATAATAATCTTGGCCTCTATCTAATAAGATGAAAGGTTGATTGATCTAATTTATATAGCTGCTCATCTCAGCAAGTGCCTCTGAGCAGCAGAGGTTTTAAAAAAAAATAAGAACAATCGTAAATATTAGAAAAATTAAATACAGCAATGCAACAACTCAAATCAGAATCAAATTCATAACCAAGAAGCCAGTCCCTGGCACCTCAGACCCTGGCACAGAACAAAGTTTTCAGAGCCTAATAAAAAGTCAAGGCCCAGGCCCAGGCTAAGGATTCAGACTGTGAATCTGATTCTGAGGAACCTGCTCCAGATGAAACCATGGAATGTCAGCCTCAGGAGATCCCAAGCTGACATGAGGCTGATCAAATATGGGCACCACCTGAACAGCTGGGGCAGTTAGATCAGGATGACATAAGGCCACTCAGCCTCCACACCAGGCAAGTAGAATGAAGTGCAGAGTAGAGATGTTCTATAAGGCTTCTCGCCAAGTAGGGGAGTAAATTTCTTGAGGAATGACAGCTGGCTGCAGCCAGATAAAAGAGGCATCTCTAACCCATGTTTCTGTGCAGGGAAACAACCATATATTATTTAGCTCACGGGTGTCAAACTCGCCACGTCACGTGACGTGTCGCGATGTATCGTGACTTTTTTTGCATTGCCAGAGCTGGGGTGGGTGCGGCCTCCGTATGATGCAACCAGTCCATAGGCCGGCAGTTTGACACCCCTGATTTAGCTCTTCTGAGGATTCTTCCAGTGAAAGTCTGACCTCTGGACTGGCTGACAACCTTGACTCGGCACTCGGAACTTTGGACTGATTTTGGACTATTGTTCTGCGCACTTCTGTTAACACCAAACTAATTCAGGCTGGCTTTTTTTTAATTTGCCTTCCTTTGCTCTCAGTAAACTGTGAGCTATCTTAGGAACAGTGTGTAAGCCAATATTTGAGGAGACCACAACCAGGGAGAATGTTTCCCAAACTGGGTGTTACAGCAAAAAACCCCCCCAAAACATGTTTTCTGCATCTCAGCAACCAACATTCTTTACCTGATGCACGCGCGTCCTTTCTGATCAGATCCAGTGGATAGGAACAACAGGAGAGAGAGGGTCCTTCAATTAACCCAGTCCCAAATCATGAAGGCCTTTAAACCAGCACCTTGAATGAACCTGGAAGCACACTGGCACACAATTCAGCCCACGGAATTGCTGTGTTACGCGCGCCAAATAACTGGCACCATTTACAACGCATGCTGCTGCATTCTACGCCAGTTGAGCTTCCAAATGCTCTCCAAGGGCAGCCCCACGTGCAGCGCATTGCAGTACTCCAGACGAGAGGTCACATGTGACAGTGAGCAAGGGCCCTTGGTCCAGAGATGGGTGCAGTCTCACATCAATACCTGGGAAGTCTCTGGAAAAGAGAATCAAGCAACGGAGGTGCGTACACCTAGAAACCAGCAAAGCTATTACTAGAAGCCAAACGTGTGTGTGTCAAAAACAGAACATGCTTTATTGCATTCTTTGAGACAAGTAAATAAATTAGTGGGCCAGCAAAACCTTGTGGACCTTAATTTTCTTATCGCTGAACTGTATTTTGTCAGATAGGGCCCAAGGTTCAAGTCTGTTAATGTCCTATCTTCCTGACCCTATCTTCCAAAGCAGATATGGGGAACCATGGCCCCTTTATAACTTGTGGACTTCAACTCCCAGAATTCCTAAGCCAGGCTGGCTCAGGAATTCTGGGAGTTGAAGTCCAAAAATCATTAAAGGGGTCATAGTTCCCCACCTCTGTTCAAAAGTGTTTCGCTATTCACCTCAGCTTCGAGTTGTCTGCAAATTTGATAAGTTCTCCTTTTATCCTTTCATCTTAATTGTGGCAGTTTTCCCTCTTATGGAAGAAAAATCTTATTCAGCTCTGTGGTAACATATTAATTTTTGGAAAACGTGGACTCTGACATGGAATCTTAACAATGCTTGAGGTTATTCCTTATCCGAGGAATATAATTTCCCTGAAAAGGCCAAATTGCAACAAACACAGCTATAAAAGACTTGATTTGTACAATGCTTGGCCTCTGAAACTCTACCAATTGACAGAAATAAATATTATTATTGCACAACAAATTAAAATGACAAAAAACAAATGTAGACAAAAATGTAGGCAGAATAACAGGGAATTCAGTCATTCTATATTAACAATTCAGGGTTCATGATGTTGGATGTGTTTCTTATGACCTGTAACAAAATTCCTTTGCTAATTCCCTGTTTTAGACCTTTGGAAACTGATTTTTTTAAAATCCTAAAATACCAAACACACTATTTTTGAGGCCTAGGAGGAAAGAGAGAGAAAGAAATTGGCCTCTGGCAGAAAGAGGGAGAGACAAACATCCCCTTTGATCTCTAAATAGATATTTAGCACAATCTTGCTGGGTTTCCCCCAGAATCTCTTTGGGAATTTTCTGGAGGGGATTAAAGAGATCCCAGATTCTGGGCAGGAAAAGATTTTAGATCATGGGAACAAGTGGAATATATAGAGTAGAGTAGAGTAGAGTAGAGTAGAGTAGAGTAGAGTAGAGTAGAGTAGAGTAGAGTAGAGTAGAGTAGAGTAGAGTAGAGTAGAGTAGAGTAGAGTAGATTACGGAATAGGGTAGGGTAGGCTGGGTAGAGTAGAGTAGAGTAGAGTAGAGTAGAGTAGAGTAGAGTATATAGAGTAGAGTAGAGTAGAGTAGATTACGGAGTAGGGTAGGCTGGGTTGGGTAGAGTAGAGTACAGTAGAGTAGAGTAGGGTAGAGTAGAGTAGAGTAGAGTAGAGTAGAGTAGAGTAGAGTAGAGTAGAGTAGGGAATGGGAGTGGGACTGGGAGTGAGAATGGGAATAGTAATAATAATAATAATAATAATAATAATAATAATAATAATAATAATAATAATAATAATAGTAGTAGTAGTAGTAGTAGTAGTAGTAGTAGTAGTAAAGTTGGAAGGTACCTTGGAGGTCATCTAGTCCAACCCCTTGCTCAGGCAGAAAACCCTATACCATTTTGGACAAATGGCTGTCCAGTCTCTTCTTAAAAACCTCCAGTGATGAAGCACCCACAACTTCTGGAGGCAGGTCGTTCCACTGATTAATTGTCCTCACTGTTAGAAAATTTCTCCTTACTTCTAGGTTGCTTCTCTCCTTGGTTAGTTTCCATCCCTTGTTTCTTGTCTTGCCTTCTGGTGCTTTAGAGAATAAGTGGACCCTCCCTCTTCTTTTGTGGCAGCCCCTCAAATGCTGGAACACCGCCATCATCTCACCCCCTAGCCTAGTCCTTCTGTTCATTAAACTAGACATCCCCAATACCAGCAACTGTTCTTAATTTCGTAGATCTCAAGAGCACAGAATGAATAGAGTAAATTTTTATAGGGCAGAATTTTAAGGGGTAAACGAAAGGGAGGTCTCGGCATCCACCTCTCCAGGAAGCCCCTCCCTCCCAGACTCACCTCTCCGGCCAACCACGAGCCCCATCTTGGCCACCTCGTAGTTGTGCCCACAGAAGCGATCCACTTCGGCCCTCTTCATCATCAGAATGAGCTTGTTGGCGTTCCACTCCTTGGCCTCCAGCTGCCCCAGCTCCGTGACGGCCATGTGTCTCCCGAGGCGGCTGTCGAAGCGGACAAACTCTTGCCGATCGTAGAAGTACCTGTCCAGGTAACGCACCTGCTGTGTCCCCTCAAGGAAAAAACAGTCGGTCTTCTCCTGGTACAAGAAATGGACTGCGAGGAGGAGGAGGAGGAGGAGGAGGAGGAAGGCCATTATGACGGGGTCCAGGGTCCATCGCTCTCAGCCATGACATGACTTCTTGGGGGGTTCACCCTCTTTTAATGCAACAAACTTTGGGGAGTCCAGATGTGGGTCTAATTCAGGCCCCGAAGTTCCGTCTCCAACCCAGCCATCGGGATGTGGGGAGGGGGGCGACTGGGACAGTCGTGCTCCCCATCCCCCATGACTGGGTTGGAAGTTGCCTTCCCACAATCCCCCCTCCCCACTTTAGTGACATTCAAGGAACAGGGGGTTCACAGTCTATACTGCTGGGGGGGGAATTGGGGGCAGAAAGCGGAGACACCCCCCATGAAGTTTGAGACTCCCGCAGGATGCTGCATCACTTGCCCTTGACCCCTTCCTCAAAGTCACGTGATTTTTCCCCCAACAGCATCCCAGCCCCCCTCCTCCTCCTCCCCCCCACTGAGCCCCCTCTCCTTACCAGGAAGTTTCTTCCCCTCTTCGCTTCCAGGGTTCTGGGCCAGCACCCCCACCAGTAACAGCAGGGGGACCCCAGCACTGCCCATGGATGCCGCCACACAAGCCCCCCCTCCCTAAGAGAGAGGGGGAGGACCCAGATGCTTCGAATCTCAGAATTGGTGGGTCTGAATTGGGAGGCGGGTGGGTGGGAGGAAGTGGTGTTTTTTTTGTTCCTCTCGAAATTGGCCGAAGAAACAGAAGGACCAATGAGAATTCTCCCTCCTGCCGCGTCATCGGTCTCCGGGAAGAGTTTCTCTTGACTTCGACCTGTGGAGTAGATAGTTCAAGACGGAGAGAGAAACAGAGAAGATAGAAGGGGGACGACCTATGGAGATTAGAGCTGGAAGGGCACTTGAAGGTCTTCTAGTCCAGCCCCCTGCTCGAGCAGGAGACCCTATAACATTTCAGACAGGTGACTGTCCAGTCTCTTCTTAAAAGCCTCCAAGGATGGAGCGCCCACGATTTCTGGAGGCCAGCTGTTCCACTGGTTAATTGTCCTCACTGTTAGGAAGTTTCTCCTTCATTCCAGGTTGCTTCTCTCTTTGGTCAGTTTCCAACCATTGTTTCTTGTCCTGCCCTCCAGGTCCTAGTTTTCCTAGTTGGAGGCAACTGGATTTTTTTGTTTTTCCTTGGAAGACGTTTCGCTTCTTGTCCCAGAAGCTTCTTCAGCTCTGACTACTCCCCACCATCCAGTCAGAGCTGAAGAAGCTTCTGGGATGAGAAGCAAAACGTCTTCAAGGGAAAACCCAGGAAAGTCCAGCTGACTTTTGGAAAAGCCCCTTTGGGCCAACGGAGACCTGGAGGAGGGAGACTCTCTGGAGAGACCCCCCCCCAGCTCCACCCCTTTAAGCTGAAGACACCCCCCCTCCCAGATTGCAAACATCCCCCTTCTATGTCCCAAAGGTGCTTTTTTTCAGGACTTCCTTATTTTTCCTTTCTGGGAAGTCAGCCCCCCCCCCCAAGAAGGAAATATTAAAAGGGCAGAAAAATATATTTTCTTCAAGGATCTTAAAGAGACAGAAAAGCATGCCCAGTTTTTCTTAATAGCCCCAAGTCTGCCTCCCCCAAGCAGAAACCAGCGCTGTACAAATGCAGATGTAAACCATCAGGAAAGTTGGAGCTAGGAGATTAGGAAGACAAAGACCTAAAATCTGCCTACCCCACCTGAGGCAGGACATGGTAGGATGAACTCACAAAGGCCAAAGGGCACACCCAAACTCAGGTCAGAATACATGACACAGGAAATAGCCTCAAAACAGGAACAGGAAAGAACCCCAAACAAAAGGCTCCAGAGGGTATAAAAAACCTACTCCCTACATGTGCTAAGTCCTTTTTTTTCTTCTCTTGCTGCCAGAACCATCTTCCTATCTGGCTCTCCTTTCCAACAAACAACAACCTTCTTCTCAAAGCAGTTGCCATGTTTATTCCCAGCTTGGATGAACCATGACGAAGACTTTTCTTCCAACACCTTTGAAGACTTTTTGCTTCTCATCCAAGAAGCTTCTCCAGCTCTGACTGGATGGTGGGGAAGGGAAGGATTTTATACTCCTTGCAGACCGCTAGTCATTTGCATTCTTGCATTCGTTGAATCCACTTGGAGGTTTACCTGTGTCCTCAAGGTCACCTGAGTAATGCAAATGGGTGTGGAACACAGTCCTTTCAGCGGTCCCAAGAAGGCTCCACGCCCATTTGCACCACTCAGGTGACCTTTCAGGACACAGGTAAACCTCCAAGTGGCCTCAACGACCCTCTAAAAGAAGGCAAATGACCAGCGGTCTGCAAGGAGTATAAATCTTTCCATTCCCCCGCCATCCGGTCAGAGCTGAAGAAGCTTCTTGGATGAGAAGCGAAACATTTTTAAAGGAAAAGCGAGGAAGTCTTGAAAAAAAAAAGCACCTTTGGGACATTGAAGGGGGGTATTTGCAATCGGGGGGGGGGGTGTCCCGCAGCTTAAGGGGCAAAACTCACGTAACAAATGTCTCACTTAACGACAGAAATTTGGGGCTCCATTGTGGTCGTTAAGTCGAGGATTTCCTGTACTAACTTAACAAATGCAATGATTCACTTAACGACTATGGCGAGAAAGGTCGAAAACTGGGGCAAAACTCACGTAAAAAGCATCTCACTTAAGAACAGAAATTTTGGCCTCCCTTGTGGCCGTTAAGTCGAGGACCGCCTGTCTGCTCAACAGGAACAGAAGCGCCTTGAAGTTCACCTTCCTCTGCAGAAACCGTTTCCTTACACACACACCCCACCAAATTCTCCAAACCCTGGATCCAATGTGAGAAGTTTTATATCCAAACATACCAGATAGTCCAAAGGCAAACAAAACACAGCTCACTGACACTCGATTCCTTAACACAAAAGGTTGCCTTCAGCAACCAGCACCTCCCACACCTTCCCTTTTATTATGCAGCCAAGGCGTGGCTTCCTAATGCCTTCTCTTTTGCCTTTGGAACCGCCCCATTGCATTCCTCTGTCCGAATCTCCTTGCCTGCCTGCGCATTTATGCATCCAGGATTTGTCCCAACTGTTCTTCATCACTGTCCAACTCAGGTTCCCAGCACAGCTGTGTCTCAGCCTGAGCATGAGTAGAGGGGCCAGGCTCCTCGTCCGACTGTAAGTCTTGGAGCTTATCAGAGCCTTCCTCTGACTCTGATGTCACTCCAGGCCCCTCCTCCTCCTCCTCCTCCTTCTCCTCTGATTCCCCAGACTCAGCTGCCGGGGCCACTGGCTGATGAGGAATCACAACAGCTGCAGCCTCCCCATAGTCACATGATCAAAATTCGGAGGCTTGGCAACAGGCTCACATTTATGATGGTCGCAGCATCCGTGTGTGTGTGTGTGTGTGTGAGGTGATCCCCTTTTGCGACCTTCTGACAGGCAAAATCAACGGGGAAGCCGGATTCACTTAGCAACCGTGTCACTCATTTAACAACCTCAGGGATTCACTTAACAACGGTGGCAGGAAAGGTCGTAAAATGGGGCAAGATTCGCTTAACAAATGCCTCCCGTAGCGACATAAAATGTTGGCCTCCATTGTGGCTGTAAGTCGAGGACTGCCTGTTTTTTAATGCTTTATACTGTTTCCCTCTTCCCTGGAAGCGTTAGCAGAATCGACCTGATGGTCTCTTCTTCTGACACCCACCAACCCCCTCAAGGCCTCCATGGCGTTCGAAGTCTCCAATTTCTCACCCATCTGGAAAAAAACAAAATAAAACTGAAAATGCAAAGAGGGCTCTTTGCGAATAAATAATAAAATAAAATAATAAAATAAAATAATAAAATAAAATAATAAAATAAAATAAATTAAAATAAAATAATAAAATAAAATAAAATAAAATAATAAAATAAAATAAAATAAAATAAAATAATAAAATAAAATAAAATAATAAAATAAAATAATAAAATAATAAAATAAAAAAATAAAATAAAATAACGAAATAAAATAATAAAATAAAAATAATAAAATAAAATAAAAATAATAAAATAAAATAATAATAATAATAAAATAAAATAAAATAATAAAATAAAAATAATAGAATAAAATAAAAATAACAAAATAAAATAAAAATAACAAAATAAAATAATAAAATAAAATAAAATAAAATAAATCAAACGAAATGAAATGAAATGGAATAAATCACTTTTATTTCTTGGCTTTTTTTTTTTTTGAGCAGCGGGCTCGACTAGAAGACCTCCTACGTCCCTCTCCAGTTCTATTCTGACTCAGGTTGATTCAAAGGCTGGCGGGCACTGCGGGGGCGGGTCACGTGGCCGCCGCAGCGGCTCCTCCGACGCAATAATCCCGGCCGCCATCTTGAAACCGGGCGATAGTGAGCTCCGCTGCGGCGTCCGCGACTTCCGGTTTGCTGGGTTTCCGCCCTCCCGCGAGGCCAGAGCGGCGGCCGGTATCGGCGGGGGCGGAGCTGTTGGCGGGCGCTGCGCGATTCGGAGGTGAGACTGCCGTTCCCATTGTCCGCGGCGAAGCGGGGCTTCCCTTTCCCTTGCCGGGAGACCCTCAGAAGGACCTGGAGCCCCCCCCCTTCCAGCTGCCGGACTACAGAGTCCATCACCCCAGGCAGGCGGGGGGAGGGCGATGGCAGCGGGCTACATCTCCCATCATCCTGGCCGGCCGAGCTCCATGTGCCTTGGCTGGTAGACTGTGGAGGAACTAGGCGACCCTCTCCCTTTTCCAGAGGGGCTGGACTACAACTCCCATCCTCCCCAAGGAACGTAGGCACTCCTTCTGCTTGGCCGGGGGTGGGTGGGCTGCTTCATCCCCCCCCCAGGAAGTGCAGCATGGGCTCAGTCATACTCGTGGCCCCCTCGACCTGCCTTCAAAAACCCCACCAAACTTATTATTTTGTGGTTTTGCTGTGGCTGAGCCCTGCCAGTTTATCATTTTTTATTTTTTATTTATACAGGTAGTCCTCAACAGTTCATTTAGTGACCGTTCAAAGTTACGGCATCACTGAGAAAGGAGATTTATGACCCTTTTCCCCACTTAATGACCGTCGCAGCCTCCCCAGGGCCATGTGGCTTGGCAATTGACTCATATTGATGACGTTCGGTCGTGGGGTCCCGGGGGGCATGTGGTCCCCTTTTGTGACCTTCGTGACAAGCAAAGTCAGTGGGGAAGGAAGCCAGGCTCATTTAACAACTGTGTTACTAACTTAACAATTGCAATAATTTACTTAATAACCGTGGCAAGAAAGGCTGTAAAATGGGACAGAATTCACTTCACCAATGTCTTGGTTAGCAACATACGTTTTGAGTTCCATTGTGGTCGTAAGTTGAGGGCTACCTGTAAACACATTTTTTTATTTTTATCTATACACATACAAGTGTGTATGTGCATGTCTGTGTGTGTACATATACATACATACATACATATCTCCCACTCTTTGTCAGCCACAAAATTTTGAATTTAAAGTATTCACAGTATATACACACACATATGAACATATATATACACACACACATGAACATTATCTATATATATATATATATATTATATAAGATAGATATGTAGATATGTATATGGATGGATAGATAGATAAATAGATTAATATATATAGATATGTATATGGATAGATAAGAGAGAAAGAGATGATAGATGATAGATAGATAGATGATAGATAGATAGATAGATAGATAGATAGATAGATAGATAGATAGATAGATATAGATTAATATATGTAGATATGTGTATGGATAGATAAGAGAGAGAGAGAGAGATGATAGAGATATATTAATATTTGTAGATATGTATATGGATAGATAAGATAGATATGTTCATATATAGATATTGATATGGTCAAACACACACACAGACAGTGCTCGACTTACAACTACAATTGAGCCCAATAATTTCTGTTGTTAAGTGAGGCGTTTGTTAAGTGAATTTTGCCCCATTTTAACTACCTTTCTTGCCCCAGTTGCTAAATGAATCACTGCACCTAAGTTACTGACCCGGTTAAGTGAAACTGGCTTCCCTCCCCATTGACTTTGCTTGTCAGAAAGTTGCAAAAGGAGATAGCGTGACTCCGGGCCGCTGCAACCATCATGAATGTGAGCCGATTGCGAAGCATCCAAATGTAAACCACGTGGCCTGGGACCTCCATCATAAGTGGTCCGAAGTCACTTTTTTCAGGGCCCTTGTAACTAAACAAGCTGTTGTAATTCGAGGACTATCTATACCAGGGGTGTCAAACTGCCGGCCCGTGGGCTGGATGTGTCCGGTGAAACCGTGCCCACCCAGTTGCCAACAATGGAAAAAAAGTTGGGATACGTCGTGACACGTCACGTGACGTTGCGAGTTTGACACCCCTGATCTGTACTGTGAAGCTGCCGGGAAGGAAACACCTCTGGATGTAATAATTCGGTTTAACCAGATGATTGAAGCTCTCGCGTTCTTTATTCCAGCTTGAAGGAGAAGAAGAAGAAGAAAAAAAAAGATCCTCGTTCCATGCAAGGCGAGAAAGACGCCATGGGCGAAGCGCTGCAGAAGAAGTTACAAGCGGAGCTGGAGAAATATCAGCAGCTGCAGAAAGGTCAGGACCTTTCCCCGGATCCTGGAGGGAGGGTCCCAGGACCCTCCCCTACACCACCTTCCCCTTCCTCCCAGTCGCTCCTGGGAGGAAAGGGTTTGCGCAAGGCCATTCTGCAGGCTCCTGCTCTCTGGAGGTGGCAGCCATTTTAGAAGCACACTTTTTAAAAAGGGCTTCTCAGTCGGGGTCCAGCCAGATGCTCCCATGCTCCCCACCAGCCGGGCTGCGTGAAAAGAATAGGAGCTGTGGTCCCATACTTTGAGTGGGCACCAAACATATACAGAGAGCTTGCTGAGGTGGGGTCTACAGTGGCTGGGGAGGGTATCTGGAAGCCCACAAGCGCCTTCGCCTTCCTCACCTCCCCGTGGCCTCCTTCGCCCTTCAGCGCCCGCCTCTTGGGGTGCTGGAGCATGGTTCCACTCCTTCCTTTGACCTCTTGGGGGGGGCTCCCCCCAACCAGCCAGAGCCTATCAGGCCTTCTTGCATCCTGGAGAGTTGGCACAGGAGACAGAAGGATTGTGACCCCCCCATAAAGGGATCCCTCTGGGATCCCAATATGGAGGGGTTCACAAAGGTGTGGATGGTCTTCAGAGGGACCCCAAGTGTTCTTCTCTATTTGAGAGGCTTTTGGCAGTATTGGGGGGGGGGTGTCCACGGAGCCCCGTCCCTCTCCCGATTCCTTCGAAGCTCTTAGAAAAAGTCTCCTCTCTCCTGGACCTGAGGGGTGTGTGGCTTCTGGAAACAGGCTCAGAAGGACCCTAACCACAAGGAGGTCTCTTCTCTTCCCTCCTCGCAGATATGAGCAAATGCATGACGGCCCGTCAGAAGCTGGAGGCTCAGTTGACAGAGAACCATGTAGTGAAGGAGGTGAGGGCGAAGCTGGTTGTCTCCTCCCCCTCCCCTGTCTTGAGTCCCCTTTTCTGCCACAGCCCTCCTTCTCTTCTTCTCCCCTCCAGGAACTGGACCTGCTGGACTCCTCTAACGCCGTCTACAAGCTCATCGGGCCGGTGCTGGTGAAGCAGGACACGGAGGAAGCCAAAGCCACCGTCGGAAAGAGGCTGGACTACATCACAGGGGAGATGTGAGTGGGTGGGGGTGTCCTCGGTGGGGCCTCCAGCTCCCGAGGCAGTCTACCTCAGCCCCCCCCCCCCAGTTTTTCTGACTTCTCCCCGCGCTCAGGCGCTTACCGGCCTGATTCTCTCTCTCTGCAGCAAGCGCTACGACGCCCAGATTCAGGACTACGAGCGGAAGTCGGAGCAGCACCGGGAGGCCCTGGGCCGGCTGCAGCAGGAGTTCCAGCGGACCCAGGGCAAGGTGTCCGTCAAGACTTGAAGGGGCAGCGCGGAAGGAGGGGTGGGCTGGCTGGCGCCCCCAGGCCCGCCATTTGGGCCTTTTGGATCCCTTCGAATAAAATTCTGCTGGACCTTTTGTGTGCCTCCTCTCTTGCACTTGGAGCTGGGAGGGAGGGGGGCAGAATTCCCAGAGGAAGGTGCCCAATGAGAGGGAGACATCCAAAGCCGGGTGTCATGGTTCCGACAGATGAAACTCTTCAAAAGAACTTCGAGGCATTGTTTACCTTAAAGAATCTTTATTTTGAGTAGCATAACATCGGCACTGCATAATCGAAGCCAAAAACTGAATTCCCCTCCCCTGAGCACATACTACCAAAGCACAATTTCCTCCTCCAATTAACAGTCATAAATCACATTCCCCAATGCTTGAAGCATGGGCTTCCTCTCCAGGTCTCCAGCCCACCAATTCCTTATCAGCTCTGGTTACAATAACCTTGTTTCTCAGGCTAGGTTTAGTGTTGTTATGTCTAGCTGGACTCTTGCTCACATCCCTCCTCCCAGCATCATCTAACTCTAAAAGCAAAAGGTAAAAGATGGCTACATTTCCGTCTGTTGTCAATGCAAAAACATCCGATGTTAGCAGCGTTGACACCGGGTGCGGTTCAGGTGCTCGGGTAAGTGAGCTCAGCCCCATGGAAAAGACACGACAAACCTTCCAGACCTGAAGACAAAGTTTCTTTGCCTGACTGGGGTACAGATCATATTCTTCCTGGAACTTTTTTTTTTGGTATAAATTTTATTAGTTTTTATAGGATTAGGAATGAGGTGGGATAAGGATTGGGGTTGGGATCTGGGTTAGGATTAGAGTTAGGGTTGGGGTTTTTCCAAATAACATTCTCAATATTTAGCAAACAGCATAATGTCTGGGTTCATGTGTTTAACAAGAAATAATAGATAATAGTTAATTATAAACAATGTTAATTAATTGCTCGATAGTCTTACTAATATATATTCAAAGTTATATATCATATTTCTTTCTCTCTAACTCATGTTTCTAGCCACTGATAGAAATTATCCCATGTTCTAAAATACACTGAGTCTTCTTTCTCTTTTATCTTTAAAGTCAATCTGTCCATTTCTGCACATTCTTAAAATTTTCTTAATACTTCTTTAGTTGGTAAATTTTCATTTTTCCAATGGTGGGCAAATACAATTCTTGCTGCAGTTAGTATGCGTAGAATCAAATATATACAATCTTTCTCATAATTTGCTCCTCTTATTCCTAAAAAAAATAATTCTGGCTTCAAGTCCATTGGTTTTTAAGTCATTTTCTCCAACCATAAATGTATTTTTAACCAAAATCTTTTTGCTTTTGGGCATGTCCACCAGATATGATAGTAAGTACCTGGTCTTTGCATTTCCAACACTTGTTTGAAGTATTTTTAAACATTTTTGCTAATCTCACTGGTGTCATATGCCATCTGTAAAACATTTTATATAAATTTTCTTTATATGCCACTGCTTTAGTTAATTTAACATGTCTTTCCCATAACTTTTGCTAGTCTTCTAATTCTATATTATACTTCCTGGAACTTCTAATTCAGCAGTCCCCAACCTTTCAATCTTGGGGGCCTGGCGGCACATGGTGTGTGTGTGTGAGTGGCAGGTACACGTATGTGCGTACAGCTCCATTTGTGTGAGTGGCATGCTTGTGCACGCCCTGCACTCACACGAATGGAGCTTTGCACGTGAGCAGAGGATGCTTGCGCTCGCGTGTGATGCCCCACATGCATGAGTTGAGGGCACTTGCACGCAAAGCTCCACATGCATGGAGCTTCGCTTGTGAGCACAAGTGCCCTCCACTTGCACAAGTGGAGCTTCCCCTATGTGCGCATTTGCCCATCTCTCCCGCAGCCCGATTTCGAAGAGGCCACAGACCGGGGATTGCGGACCCCTGCTCTTATTCACTTGTCCTTCATGAGGACTAGTAAGCTGTTCTGTGCTGATCCATCTTTAGGAAGAGCATTTGGGATTGTGGAGGCTGCTCTGGCTCCTTCAGTTTTCTCCTCTGCTCTTGGCACAGCCAACCTCTATGAGTGTGTGTTTGTTGGTGTGTATATGTTGTGCGACTGAGATGCACATGCAGGACAAGATGGAGCCTTGCTAGTTCAGGCCTCTCACAACCCTGAGGGGGAGAGGGGCCCGGGGAGGGCTTTGCTCAGGCCCTGCAGGCCCTTCCCAGCCCCTTCGCCTGCTCCCTTCATTGGGGGAGACCAAACTGGACACCCCATTCCAGGCGCAGTCTGACTGGTGCAGCCCTTCCTGGGATCCTCTGACTGTCCCTTTGTGGATGCAGCCCAAGATCCAGTGGTGGGATTCAGCCGGTTCGCACCACTTCGGCAGAACCAATAGCTAATTTTTTTGTTGCCCAGGCCCAGAATGGACTTCCAGAAGCGCTATCCACACAGAGATCCGGTGGTTTACATATTTGAATCCCACCCACTGCCAAGATCACATTGTCTGTTGCGGCTGCTGCGGCACACAGACAGCTCAGGGAATCTGCCCCACCCCAACTGCTCTTGCTCCCCCCTCTGCGTGAGTCTGGTGCCTCCCCTGTCAAGAAAAAGACTCATGATCTGATCGCAGCACAAACCACGAACTTGTTCTCACCTGTCTGCCTGATGGTTCGCTTATGGGGCAGCCCCGCAAGAGCACTTTGCTAACAAAAGGGGGAGAGCAGGTGCTCCTCCCCACCTTTTGGCAAAGCTCAGATATCTGGCATAGTCCTGGGAGTCCCCCCCCCCAACCCATTTCCCCAGCAAGGACCCTTCTCTGGGGTTGTAGGCAGTGGTGGGATTAAAATATGTGAACAACTGGTTCTCTATGGGGATGTCGCTTCCGGAAGTCCATTCTGGGACTGGGCAACAAAAAATTAGCTACCGGTTCTTCCTGTTGAAGGAAAAGTCTTCATCACGATTCATCCAAGCCGGGGATAAACAACATGGCGACTGCTTTAGAAAGAAGGTTGCAGTTTATTGAAGAGGAGAGCCAGACAGGAAAAAGGCTCTGGGAGAAAAGAGAGCAAGCACATGTAAGGAGTGGGTTTTTATACCCTCTGGAGCCTTTTGTTTGGAGTTGTTCCTGTGGCATGAACTTTGACCTGTGTCTGAGTGTGCCTTTCTGGTATTCTGATGGTGATGGGTTAATCCTATTATGTCCCAAGGGTCATATCCTGCTTCTCTGGGGCTGGGGCTGATGAGTGTTGGAATTTTTGGTGTGAGGAATTGTGGATTCTAAAAATCTTTCTTCCTAATCCCAGTTTCCTGAGCAAAGTCTTTCTGACAAGGTTATCACCTGCATTTCGCAAACTTGGTTTCTGTTTGGGGCAGAGAGACTTGGGGAGGGGGGTTGGTTTCTGCCTTTAAAATCCTTTGGGGAAATATATTCTGCCTTTTAAATATTTCCTTCTCTGGGGGGGCTGACTTCCCACATGCCGAACTGGTCGAACTGGCTGAATCCCACAACCGGTTGTAGGGGAGTCTGGACCCCAGGGCTGCCTCTGATCTCTCTGCTGGGCTGGACTAGAGAATGCCCACAGACCCCTCCCTCCCGTCCCTCACTAGCTGCGCTTCTCCACCTGTCACCCCCCCTGCATTCCCTCCAGGGTGGACCCAGGCGCTGGTCCCGGGTGAAAGGGGGGATTTTCCTTCTTAATCCCCCCACAAGCTTCTCCCAAAGATGGCCTCCACCCTCCCCAAACAACCCCACCCAAACTGAGCTCTAACAGAAGCTCTGGAGCTCTGATTGCCCTTGATCTTCTCCTTTGAAGTTAGTCTCAGAAGTCTCCTCCTGGACTCCTTGGGGGTGCGGGTTTAAAAGAGCATCTAGCCCACCAACCTCTAGAAAGAGAGAGCCTGACTGAGAATCATAGGGGAGAGCAAAGGAAGGCATGGTCTCCTCTGGGGCAGGTGAGAGATACCTCCTTGAGTTGCAGCCCCTTCCCACTTTCTCCGCTTCTCTCTCTGCTCGTAACTCTTTCCTCTATTCCAGTGATGGCGAACCTTTTAGAGACCGAGTGCCCAAACTGCAACCCAAAACCCACTTATGCATCATCGGGTGCCGGGTGGGTGTGGCCCATTGGGTGGGCGTGGCTGCAGTGGTAACAGCAGACTGGGTGGGACTAAAAAGTTCAATCAATCAATTCCAACTTTGCAAGATCTTTTTTCCCCGCGAGAAGTTGAAATTGACTGATTGGCGGAAGCCTAAAGGCGGCAGAGGCCTAAAGCGAAAAGGTTTTATAAATCCCAGCTGAAGGCCTAGGACTGGGGCGACGGTGCGCGTGCCCACAGAGAGGGCTCTAAGTGCCGCCTCTGGCACCCTTGCCATAGGTTCATCACCACTGCTCTATTCTATTGGGTAAAGTCAAGGGAGACTCCACCCGGAGACCGATGATGCTGCAGAAAGAGAGAATTCCCAGTGGTCCTCCTGTTTTTTTCCATATTCCCAACTCAAAAATCTGAGAAAAAAGCTTCCTCTCCCCTAATCGAGACCCATCAATGGGGAAGCCAGATTTATTTATTTTATTTATTTATTTATTTTACAAAATTTATATGCCGCCCTTCTCCCCATGGGACTCAGGGCGGCTCACAGCATGTTAAAACAATATACAGAATTACCCCTTCTAAAAACCAATTAAAATCCAAATATTAGTGGCTGTGACTATTTAAAATCATTAAAAATTATCCCTATTTAAAATTCACCCTAGGTCAGGCNTGTGGGAGGGAATCTGCGGCAGAAGGCGGTCTCGGAGGTAGCCAGGACCGATGCCATGGAGCGCTTTAAAGGTGGTGACTAGCACCTTAAAGCGTACCCGGAAGGCCACTGGCAACCAGTGCAGCTCGCGCAGCAGCGGCGTTACATGGGAGCGACGTGTCGCTCCCAACACCGCCCGCGCGGCCGCATTCTGGACCAGGTGTTACTAACTTAACACCTGCAGCGACTCACTTTAGAACTACAGCAAGAAAGGTCTTAAAATGGAGCAAAACCCATTGCAATGTCTCACTTAGCGACGGAAATTTTGGGCTCCACTGTGGGTCATAAGTTGAGGACTTTACCTGTACCTAAAGCAAT